ACAGCATCATAGTCCTTAATAAAATACTCTAGTTAGTCGTTACTAACCTACTAGTATCTATTGGAAACTATTGGATTCAGAAAAATTCTTTCTAGCCAGTCAAGAACTTGGGACATTAGTGGGGAATATCTGGACGTGAGCTGTTTCAAGACTGCTCAGTACTTTGGGCCCACTCCTAATTGTCTGGATGTAAGCCATCCATTTCCAAAATTCTGCCTCAGAAATATTTTACTACCAGATATTAATTCCCAAACCCTTGGACTTCAGCGATAAATTATCTCTATTTCATAAATATTTTGAGAGACATGCAGTGGCTAAAAAGCTTGACTCATTTTTGCCCAAATCTCTCTCCCCTTTTTCTTTTTTTCTTTTGGAGACAGTCTCGCTCTGTTGCCCAGGCTGGAGTGCAGTGGCACGATCTTAGTTCACTGCAACCTCCATCTCCTGGGTTCAAGCAATTTTCGTGCCTCAGTCTCCCAAGTAGCTGGGATTACTAGGTGTGTGCCACAAAGCCCAGCTAAGTATTTTTGTATTTTTAGTAGAGACAGGGTTTTACCATGTTGGCCAGGCTGGTCTCAAACTCCTGAGCTCAGACAGTCTGCCCCCCCTTGGCCTCCCAAAGTGCTAGGATTACAGGTGTGAGCCACTGTGCCCTGGCCCCAAATCTGGCTCTTTAATTATAGGTACCACACTGCACTGCACTGCACAAACATCATAGTAACTTTCATGGAATTATTTTAAGTTAAAAGTGTTCATAACCCATCATGCTAATAAATATGTTTAAATTTTTGTATTTCTTACCAAAATCCTTTACCATACATATAATTTTATAAAGCTGTAATCATAACATATGCACAATTTACATTTTACCTTGTTCGAGACTATCTTTTAAACACTGATCTCCTACTAATATCATGAAAAATACCTGAAGTTTCTACTTTAACTCTGAAGTTATTTTGTTGGTAAAAAATACGTCTTTGTTCTGGAAAGAAGTCTCAGTGAAAATCCTATCAAATGATGTTTGCCATCATTATGGAACCCCGCCCCCCGCCCCCGCCACATTGGTGGGAGTTAAACATTCACATTCCTCACAAAGAGTGTTCACATTGATGAATTATGATGTGGTGGTTATCTTACTGTGCCAACAATGAATGCTTCAGGCAGAAAAGCAGACCACTTGGAAAGCAGGAGACCTTTGTTTACCCAAATGTGTTTTTAATTATAGTATTAACAGAGATAAAGCAAAATCAGGGAAGTACAAAATAATTACATGCGAGTCTAACAAAATAAACATCATTTGTTCTTAGATTCTATGTACTTCCTCTAAATCTGCTGCTTTTCCAAATATTGGATCTTTTCCTCTTTACTAGCGTTTCTTTAAGAAACCCCAAATTAAATATGTCTTTGCTTTAACAGCCAAATAATTATATAAAGAAAAAATAACAAATATAAATCATGTTGGCATTTAAAGATTAAAATGAAGCCACAGCTTGAGCAAAGAGATTTATTAGTTGATATTTGTTCATCATTATGAATATTTCAAATCTCATGTAGTCAGAAGTGATTCATTACTGTTTTCCGGGAAGTGATAATATCTCCTGCAGTGTCATTAACAATGTTAATCTTGGTCAAGCTTCCCTGGATTAAAAATTTATAAAAGCAAAATATTGCTGTAGTAACTATTCTGGAATAGCATTTTCTGGCCCTCGTGTTTCAAAGACCTCACTTATACCAGCATAGCATCATGGGCAAGATGTTATAAGCATCTACAGATACACATATACAAATATATAGTATGCTCCCTTTCTCTTTCACAGAGAACTTTTTCTTAAAACAGGAAATATTAAATGGGTAGGACAGGCACAATGGCTCCACCTGTAATCACAGCCTTTTAGGAGGCTGAGGTGGATAGATCACTTGAGCCCAGGAGTTTGAGACCAGTTTGGGCAACATGGCAGAAACCTTGTCTCTATAAAAAATACAAAAATTAGCTGGGCACGGTCGTGGGTGCTTGTAGTTCTAGCTACTTGGGAGGCTGAGGCAGGAGGATCACCTGAGCCTGCAAAGGTCAAAGCTGCAGTGAACTGTGATTGTGCCACTTGTACTCCAGCCTGGGTGACAGAGTGAGACCCTGCCCGCCTCCCCCCCAAAAAAAGAAATAAAATAGTAAATGGTCACTCGTTTGTGAAATGAGTTCTACAAATAATGATGCTTCATGTGCATTTCCTTAGGGGCCATTTGTGTGCTTTATCCAAGTAATCAAATCATTTATTTCTGCTATGGCTGTAAACACTCGTGTGGAAGCTTTCTGCCTGCTTTCATCCCACTTCCTCAACTGAATCAATGTGTTCATTAGGGATCTTTGAGTTGCCAGCAAGAAAAATGCACTCCACCTAGTTCAATCAGAGAAGAGGCATTCACTGGAAGCGCAACCTGTGTTTCACAGCCAGGAGTGGCTAGAACCTGACTTCAGTGGCTGTCAAGGCCAGGCGCAGTCTCTCCCCTCATATACGCTTACTTCTTTCTTTCCTCTCTCTGCTGACTCGCTGCTGGTGCATATGGGCAAAACCTGGCCACTTCCAAAGGCCCTCTCTGTCCCCAGTCTGCATGCTAATTCCAAATTCTTAAACTGTCACTTTGAGGGTGGAAGGAAGGTGGAAATTAGCCTTTTGTTGTTAGAGTGTGGTATGGGGAGGACTCAGGATAGGCATGAATTGGAAAAATATTTTGTAAGTTAACATTTCTGACATTTGCAGCTCCTGAAGTCAGGAAGTAAAGCACACCTAAGTGGTTTTTTACCTACTTCATTTCTCTTTTTCAAATTAGCCAGTCTTTTGGAAATCTACTATGGGAAATAATTTTCTCTATCTCAAGTCCTGCTGAGAAATTTAAAGGGTACAAATTCTTAGTGAATAAATAAATATATGTGGATTCACTTCCTGGCACACAGGAGTGTTAGCTGAAGACAACCCCAAAGTCAAAGGTAGATTTTTGTTTTTTTGAGACAGAGTCTTGCTCTGTTGCCCAGGCTGGAGTACAGTGGCACAATCTCGGCTGACCACAACCTCCATCTCCTGGGTTCAAGCGATTCTCCAGCTTCAGCCTTCCAAGTAGGTAGGACTACAGGTGCGCACCACCACACCTGGCTAATTTTTGTATTTTTAGTACAGACAAGGTTTCACTATGTTGGCCAGGCTAGTTTTAAACTCCTGACCTCATGATTTGCCCACCTCGGCCTCCCATAGTGCTAGGATTACAGCCTGAGCCACCGTGCCAGGCCCGAAGGTATTAACTCAGTCCATGACACTCACTTGGTTGAGGGAGGAAGTGGAAAAGGCAGCTGATTCCCTCGCTCCCCTCTGAAGTAAATAAAAACCAGAGCGAAGGAGGGAGGCCAGAGAAGGAAGACCCAGGAGCAGCATTGAGGCTGAGATCCAGTTTGGGGATCCTTTGTATAGGTGGCTTTCTAGAAGTGGCGGGCCCAGGAAAATCAAATTTCTATTGTGTGCTCCAGTTTAACACTGTATGGCGAAACTTCTGAGTTGAAAACTCATCTGGTCTGATGAAACGTTTAATGCCTGAATTTCTCCTGCGAAAGGACAAGAGGTCAAGAAGAGCAATTCAAGGCCGAACAAAGAAGAGAGTCCTCTCTTCGATTCCATGAGTCTAATCCTAACCATCACCTCCAGTTTGCACAGACTCACATGTGTTAAATACGTGATTAGTAAATTAAACTAACGGTCTGAGGGCCTAATGGTTCTACTGTGGTTATATGCCGGATGGGCATCTGCCTTGAGTCAAGCTGATCAAGCAGGCCTGTGGCTAGCTCACCCATCCCACATGCCTGTCTTTAAGCTGTTTCCATTGTTCCTGAAACCTCTCCCCACTTCTTTCTAAAACCCTCAAAAGGGATTATGGTCATCAGCAATTTAGTATGAATAGATGCTATCTCTTCAATGGATATTTCCATTTTAACCTTATCTTTAATTGAAGGTCTTTCTGACTGTTAAAGGAATTTTAAGAAGAGTATATTTAAGAGTCTGTAGCGATTTCTTCCTTTCTGGGACATTAATTAGATCTGGGTAAAGTTAGTTTAGCTCTGTCCTGGGTTGAGATTCAGCCAGTGCACACAGATTCTCTCTCTGTTGCTTCAATATTAGCTTACTTCTTTACTGCCTGGCCAGTATCTGAACCCACTTTCACACTCTTCCAGTGACCCCATCCTCTCTGGGATTTCTAAAAGTTCCCCATTATACAGAAACTAAAGGATCATTTAATGTAGATGGGATCTCCTGGGTCCCTGTGTTCTAGCTCTGTGGTCAGCATCTAGTCTGGTTGTTTTACTGTGATTGATTGATAAGCAGTACTGTTCTGGCTGTGAAATATTTTGAATGTCACTCCTGATTCTACCTCTTAAATTGTACTTTCCACTATTTACATTACAAATTAAGGCACCTCTCCACCCACTCTCACTGCCCAATCAACAACCATCACACCAAACTGACATCTCTCCTGAAATCTATTTTCCCAGGTACCTTCAAACAATAAATGGGGGTGGAGTGGGGAAGAAGAATTACTGAATAGTACACTCTTGGAAAATACGGCTAGGTGTGGAAAGAATAAAATAGGACCTAAGGTTCTTAAACCTTACTATGCCTAAGAATCACCTTAGAGATTCTGATTCATAGATTGAAATGATTCAGGAATCATTATTTGTAATGCGTATTCAGGTAAATTTGATGTAGATGATGTGTGCATCACATTTGAGAAATACTGAACTCAACTGTTGCTGCGAATTACACACAGTTGCCTATGGATGGGACATGTATTGATCACTAGGAGCTTAATTTACCAGGATTTTAAAGGCATTCATCTTATTTCAGTTCCTACTGTTTTAGCTATAGGTGATTATGATGCAAGTATTCCCAATGCATTTTTATTGATGGGTGCTCCAGTCCTCAGGTTCTATTAACACACTCTTTTTTGTTTTGAAATTACAGAGTCTGTCATCCCAAGTAGTGGAACATTTCATGTAAAGCTCCCTAAGAAACACAATGTGGAACTTGGAATAACCATAAGTTGTAAGTAGAAGTTATTTCTTTCAAATAATTTTTAAAGACATTAGAAAACTGTATTGTTGACTGTTTTGCAGGTGTGACAAAGGTTTTACATGTCTTTGCCAAGTTTTTATGTCATGATACAGAAATGTGGAGTTAGTCACACCTCCAGCACAAACTGGCTGTGTGAGTGGGACAAGTTAGTCAGACTCTCTCCAATCTTATATTTCTTCATATGTAAAATATTTTCTAGCTGTCCTTAGCTATCTAAGGATAGCTAGAAAATATAGGATTGTTTTAATTGTTGAATAAAATTACATATTTATCTACCTAGTACAGTGCCTCGCAAGTGATGAGTCAGTACTCAATAAACATGTATCTCACACCCCAGATGAATAATTAGATGAGAGATAGATGCACATACATTCTCTACGTTTAATATTGTGAATTATTAGTATATTGTATATATTATTAGTTTATTGTATATTAATTCACAATGTATTGTGAATTGTTTTTACAATAATCTATTTAACAAAAGTTACATTTACTTACTTTTAAGACTGTCTTCCTATCTGTCCACTATGCATCTACAATCCTTTTCACAAGACTAAAACAGTATCTCTTAAGTAAATCCTTGAATTCCTCCATGGTACACAGTACCTGGAAAACTGAACAGAAAGGAAAAGTGGACCATATAAATGTACTTAATTTTCTCCTTTCCTCAGGCTCTAGTTTTATAACTGCTTTTTTTAAAACAACTTTTAGAATGTTAGCTCCAATGGACTTTTCTAGAATAGAAATTGAGGGTTTTTTGAGGCTTTTAATATCCATAGTCTAAATGCATCCATAAATGTCCCAAGAAAATGAAGCAAATAATAAAGGCTTAAAGACCAAAGGAGACATAGAGGTAGTAACTGTGACCAAGAGCTGTTTTTTTCAAGAAAAAATGATGAGGCCACATAAAAGTGCCTCACTACACTCTGTCAGATAGCAATTCTGTCAGTGACTCAGGCAAAAAATAAATAAAAGTTCTCAATTGGGCAGTGTGAAATGCTGCTCTCTGGTTCAACATGGATAATATAAATTTAATACTGAAAAATGAAATTTTATTTATAACCAATAAGCCACACGTGTCTACTGTAACACTAAAAAGAATGGTACTGCAATTCAGAATAAATATTAAGAGCAAGAAGCTATATGTATGAGAGAGAGCCTAGATTCTCCCAAACCCTAATGTGACCTACTGAGAGAAAAGCTAAAAGATGGAATGGGATTTTAGAGACTTCAGCACTATCCTAAGTGTTCCTAAAGTCATTTATTTTTTAGATTAGGTTGCTTAGCCTCTCAGTGTGTTCACTATGCATCAAAGATGGTATGTCACTATAGTGTCAACAGCTACAGCTACTAAAATTAAGAAAGCATATCAGGATTTACTATTCCAAACATATTTAGGGCTCAAAATGGCTTCTGCATGCAAACCCTCATACAACTTTAAGGCTATTCTATTTAATTTTATTTATTCCAATCCATTCATTTATTGTGTCAGAACTAGCTGTGGAAGTGGTGCGTCTTGGAGTTGTGCAGTATATAACCTGCTTCTGTACACAGAGACCCTGCCCCAACTTCCATTCTTTCATTCTTCTGCCTTCCCTCAACAAATGCATCCTAAGTGTCCACCATGCTCTAACCCCAATGCTAAGCTTTAAGAATATACGCCCTGTCCTTCTAGATGCATCCTGCTGGTTGGTATTCTGAAGTCCTCTGTTCCTCAGAAGCTTCTATCACCACTGCCATACAGTTATTTTACTCTTAAATTTTAAGCAGGAAAATTGCCTTTCAATTTGTTTTATATGATAGATGTATTCTTAATTACAAATTGGTATAAATCAAAAATGTAATTTAGCCCAGAAAGTATCCATCTAAAAATATCCTGCGGTATATTTCTTATTTTAAAAAGTAGACATTTATATGCTAATTTGAGATATAGTCTTATACACAAACTACAAAATATTTGTTTTATTCACATGAAGAATCATTTAATATTATGCTTTATGATGATGTTTTGTTTTACATGAGTGTTTTACTTCTAAAATGGGTTTTAATAGGAATAATGGCAAAAATCTGAAAACTGCCATAAAGATGGCTTGAATTTTAGCCAGCCACAAGCAAACAAATTCATGGAAGCTGAAAGTGTTGTGCTGTTCTCAGATGGAGAAATGATACATGAACTTGTCAAACATGCTTGTCAGTTCTTCTAGAGCTGCAGCTCCATTTACACAACTAATCATTACCACCATGCTTTGGTTTTGTCCCCTCATGGAAAATACTCTTATTTTACCAGATGAGAAGGCCGACTTTGCTTTTTAGAAAAATTTTTTAAAAGGCCAGAATCCATTTTCATTGTTATGAGTTAGTAAAATCCTGAGGCCTAGCACAGTTCCTGGCACATACAAGATAGTTATTTAATACCTGTGTTTGCTGAGTGAATGAATAAGAAACTTTACCTGCAAACAATTTTTTACTAAGCCCTATGCACTCCAAGAAATTAGCCTCCAGGGGAGATGATGAATGAATATAAATGTTTGTGCAAAGGCTGATGCATGGACTGAAGAAGGATTGACTTGGAAAATAATTAAGAGCAAGGACTCAGAGCCTAGACTGTTTCATGCCCCAATTCCCTCAACCTCTTTGTGCCAAGTTTCTTTATCTAGAAAATCGTGTATATATTACCTTCCTTATAGAGTTGTTGAGAAGATTAAATCAATTACTGTATGTAAAATGCCTTGGACACGTTGTGAACCCTAACAAACATTAGTAATGATAATCTTCATCATTATTTACTTTACATACAGAGCCTTTTGAAATATTATTTATTTATGTTTTATTTTTTGAGACAGGATCTCACTCTGTCACCTGGGCTGGAGTGCAGCAGCACTATTATGGCTCACTGTAGCATCAACCTCCTGGGCTCAAACAATCTTCCCACTTTAACCTCCCAAATATCTGGGACTACAGGCATGAGCCACAATGCCTGGCTAATTTTCAAATTTTTGTAGAGATGAAGTCTCACTGTGTTGCTCAGGCTGGTCTTGAACTTCTAAACTCAAGCAATTTTCCTGCCTTGGCCTCTTAAAGTGTTGGGATTACAGGTGTGAGCCACCACGCCTGCTAAAATATTTTAAGCACAGCTCCAGCCCACAAAATCTAGTGCCAACATAAGGAAGAAATCTGGGAACCCTCTTCTAAGACACACATGGATACTGTTAGTGAAACCAAGGTGCTGCGAAGACTTGATTCTTCTCACTATCTCTATACCAAGTCCCCTTTCTGTCTTCTTCACCTTGCGCAAGCTCTGAGTTATTAAGAAGCAGCCCCTCATCTCTGAAAGCATACCAGCAGAGCCTTTACGGCTCACTCTTCATACCCAATTGACTGAGAAATGAGTCTGTCTGATTTTAGACATAGTGAGCAGTTTCAGACTAATTTTCTTAAGTTCCCGATGACACATTTGCAGCGTATTAGCACCAGGCATTGCTTTTATTGATGTTATTGCTGTAATATAATATTGTCACTGATATAGAGTGATTTATTGTAGCAAATAAAGTAGAACAACCTAGCAGAAGGATGCAGTCTGAGACTAAAAGTCACATCCTGATGCCTCCACACCTTAAGTCAGAAACCCTAGAGCTCATACCTTCCTGCACAGCCTACCTCCCTTTCAAGTCATCGAACCCTGGTTGTCTCTGTCACGTGCCATTATCAGTAAAGTCCTTTTCACATGGGTGTTTTCCCTTGAGGTTTTATTGAGGGGTTTGTATCTGTTTTGTACCAGGCATGGCACTATGCAATTTTATGTGTTTTCTTACTTAATCCTCAAAGTGGCTCTGTGACATCCATCCCCATTTTACAAAGAGGAAAGAACAACTCAGCTGGGTAACCTGCCCAAAGACCGAGGGCTAACAAAAGGTGAAGCAGGGATCGAAACCCATTGTCTCTGACTAGCACTGGCTTCATTGTCACCACACCACTCATCCCTGTCACCATCTGATTGATGAAACTCCTTATATCCTATATCAGAAAAGCAAAAGGCAGTATTTTGTGAGTACAGTGAATTCATTGGCTTTCCTTTTTAGTTCTGACTGAATTGTTTGCAGAAACAAAGGCTTGCTTTATTTTCTTATAGAATCACAAAGCAGCCTTTGTAATGACAAGCACAACAAATCTGTCATTTTCCCCTAAGTCTTAAGTGTATTTAGTAGAGAATGGCTCCTGTTATTTTGCCAACTTTGCAGTAAAAAGCTCTATTCACTGCTCCATTTCAAATCAAATAACTTGTTTTACTTACTATGTATGACATCTACGGTTGCAATTAAAGTCAAGCTGAATGATTAAGAGTTTGTATGTGTATGTGTGTATATATGTGTATATGTGATTATGAGTGGTTTTAAAATTTCTGAGGTCAAAATGTTACCAAACCAAACTTGGGTCCCCTTGCCCAGCATACAGAAAAAGCCAAACACTGATACTAGAATTTTCAGCAAGAGAAAGTGAAGCATTTGTTGCAGGGCACCAAGCAAGGAGAACTGGGCAACTAATGTTTAAGACTGAAACTCCCTGATGGCCTAGATGGGTTTTGAAAGTAGGAAGCAGAGGTTATAAGCAAAATCATAAATCAATACATGGAGGCTTTGCATTGTTTGGCCCAAAAAGAGAAGTATCTCACAGTGGGGGTTCACAGGTCATGAGTGGATTCAGAATTTTTTTTATTTTGCAGTTGGTTAAAGAAGCAGGGCTTTGTCTAAAAACTTAGGGTCAGCAAAAAGGAATGTTAAAGTGTGGCCTTTAGGCGTGACTCTTTTCAGGGTCCTCAGGAGGAAATTTAGAACAAAAAATGATAGAGTTCAGTTCTTACTTCTCCCTTATCTGCATGAGATTTCTGCAACGGTGATCAGCATTTTCCATCTGGTGTGGGTCCAGGTTTCTGAAAAACAACTTAAGAACATATGTTAAGCTATTATCTTTTA